GGGAAGAGCGCCCCCTGCTGAGCGGGAGGCCGGCATCCCCGAGGCTTGCCGGGCCGTGTGGCTCGTCCGTCGGACCGTGTGGCCTCGCGCTTCTCTTGCCGTGGCCCGTTAGTATTTGAAGCGCGTCCCACAGCCGCCGTGCGGAGGAACTTGGAGTCCCCAGGGCGGCCGAGGCTTCCTCTGGCCCAGCCGGGGCAGTGGCGGCCGGGTTCTGGCTCTCAGGGGTCGAGAGGCTATGGCCTCCCCAGCCCTTTTATGCCCCTTCAGCACATCAGCCCAAAGAGCTGTGCAGGCCTGCCCCTTGGAGCTAGAGCTGCAAGAAAAATCCCTTTTCAGGTTGAAAAACTTTCCCCTTGGGCTGCCCCAAGGCTCACCAGCGGTCTGAGAGGCCCCCGAGCACTGGACCACACCTCTACACCTGGGCCTCTGCCCTTGGTCTTGCTGCTGCTCGCAGGAGAAGCCTTGTGCTACCCGTGGCCTGGCTAATAGCGCTTCACTGGGCTGGGCTGCTTCCCGGCAGCTGTCAGCAAGTCTGCCAGACCTGGAAAGTACATCTCGCAGGATTACTGCTTCCCAGATAACTCAGGGAATCTCTCTTTTTGGGGAGAGGGTAAGAACAGCAAAAGAAATGGGAACCGTTGAAGCAAATGTTTCAAATGGGTTTCAAATGGATCTCACAAATTGCAGTATAAATTATTTTAATGTCTGTCATCTTCTCATTCTGACAGCATAGTTAAATGATTTTTAAATTTCTTTTAAATGGCCCTGTTGACAAATTTCCTCCTGGTCTCAAAATGGCTGTCTGCAAGGCAAAAGAATGTCAGTGCTCCATGGGCATAAAGAAAGGTGTATGTTGTTGGTAGGAGAGGTGACTGCATTTTCTCATTGCTATCATGGGAGAGTGCTGAAAGGGGAACAGAAGGGAAATGATGGCTGAACAGAAGAAAGGAAGACAAGAAAGGAACAGAACAAGGAGTGCTTATAGAACTGGGATGTTGTGGTTGTGTACTAGATGTTGGCTGGCCCAGAGCAACTATACCTTTGATGTAAAGGCAATCACATCACTTACTGGATGTATTTAGCTTGTTTCATTGAAGATGATAGAGGGAACAATTACAGATCTTTGTTAAGTGAGAACTGAAATGGGCATGATGTCTGACTAGAGACAAAACTGACTGCAAACACATGAGCTGGGGATTGCTTTGAATGCTGTCTGTGAAAATGAGGCAGCTAGAGTATGGTGAAAAACAACGAAAAAGTCAAAGAAGCACTTATAATGTGACCCTGATGTAAGCAACGAAAATACTTCATACTATGTTCTGGAAGATGGGACTTTGTGTTTGCTGTGTAAAGAAATAGAACTGAATCAAAGAATCCTCAAGTGTATTATATAATTCCTTTCATAATGGCAAAAAAAGCCTTCAGGATCATCTTGAATATTTGCTAAGCATTTGAGCTAAAATCAGTGGAACACTGAGAAAAGGATGCAGACGTTATAAATCTCAAGAGGGAGTAAAGGAGGAAGGGAGCTGATAGAAAGCAATGTGAATGATGACAAAAGTGGTGGGAGTTTGGAAGACTAGGAGAAAGAAAAGTTTAGAGACACTTGAGAATACATGAGTGCCGGGAAAATAAATGGCAAATATAGGAAAGAAAAGTGTTGACAACCATGGGGAAATGTTTTCTTTACGTGGACATAACATTTCCATCAACGTGTCCCAGAAACTAATGACGGAATCAGTGACAGAAAAGCCTTTGCACTAAAAGGCAATAACGCACATTTTGTTTTTAAATGAAAAACTGAAACTGAGGAATTTGACAATTTTAATTTCACAGGAACTGCAGAAAAAGATTTGTGTTGGAAGAAGAACGCTTTTTAATATGTTCCAGCTTTTGACTACCAAGGGAAAGGGCATGGTGGTAGGTAACTCAGCTCCTAGAGCCCCCCCGGGGGTCCTCAAGCAGTCCTGTGCCAATCCTGGCTCTGCAAGGCAGGTAACAGGGCAGTCCCTTGAGGGGCTGGGGGTTCTGGCACTCCTCTGACCTTTCTGAAGTGTTTTGAAATCTACAGAACAACCACAAACAATGGTAGTATTAAGCAGCAGGGAAAACACTGACAAGCTTGTGATTAAATTGTTTTATTATCATATAACGCAGTTGGTCATGACTGTACCTAGCATATGAAAGTAAATTCTTTTTAGTAGTAACATATATATTGTATGTCATTTATAAACAAAAAGATTTTTTTTTACCTGAGATTATGTTTAAATTGCAAAGAATAATTCCAGATGGATAGCAATGTATACAACAAAAAAATAAACATGTATTGACCAAAGCCTACAGTATATTATGCAAACAAGAAGTTAGCACAGTGACTCTTATTTCACTTGTAATGCTTAGAAATATCAAATAACTAATTTATATTGTGCAAATCTGATATTGTTGACTGGACATATATATGTAAGACCGCATATAACTTCTATTCCTATTCATAGGGAAAAAATAATACAACATTAATGCTTTAATACAGTGAATGTATTGAAATTTATAATCTTGTTCTTGATCACCATATTAAAAAAATCACACATCTAGTTGTTACCCACTTAGTTTAAATAGCCCAGAATCAATCAAATCCAAGACACCTAAATCATGCAATTCTGTTTCTGTAACGAGGACTGCTTTTGTGGGTGAGGATTACAGGGCTCTTATAACCCAACCTTGTTTAGGACTGCTTAACTAACAGTCGGTGCTAAAAGATTTTGTAGTAATTTTTCCAGAATTCTCCAGATATTCCTGAAAGAACCTGTCATTGGGATCTCAACTTTTTATACTTATGCCGAATGTTTTTTCACATAAGTTAAATTTAATTCAAGAAGCAAAGACGTTCTTTGCCAGTGTTACAGGCCTCAAACTGTCCAAAGATGCTGACAGATTCCTTTTGACTTTGATGGTTCTTGGATCACTGTTAAGTAGTGATGACTCTGAGTCTCTTGTTTCACTGAGATTCGGAACAGAAATTGTTAAATTTAGTAGCTGTAGAAAATTATGAAAGAGGAAGAGAAAGAAACCTTCCATTTTTTTCTTCTAGAAATTGAGGGTATTTGAAAAACAAACAGGAAATAGCTAATTGTTATGATTGCTAGTTGTATATATTTTATATAGGAAGCCGCCTCCTCCTTTCTTTCCAGTTCTGAAATGTTTGTTTTCCATTATCCACTTCAGCACAAGGAATAAAATAATTTTAAGTTGTCAGTCCTTACATTTAAGATGTTTTAGTCCTTAAGGAGAAACATGAAAACATCTGATACTTAAATGAAGATCAAGATCTAACCTATCCAAACACACTTACTGCATGGAATAATTTCAGTATACAACTTCTTTTTAACTGTTATTCTAGCAACTTTGGTCGGAGCAGTAAGAACTTAGATGTGACACACACAGCAAAAAATTCTGTGGGCCCTATTCTGCAGTCACACACAAGCAAAACTCTCACTGAAATCAAGGCATGATTGGACCCAGAAAAGGCTTTTCTCCAAGATTTTCTTTTGACATTTTTAAGCCTCTTATGCAAAACTAAGTCATAAGCCCCTTTTACTCCTTCAAAATGTGATCAAACATAATTGGTAGAAAACCTCTACATCTTAAGCCAAAACATAGTGAGGGTAAGGCATGCCAGTCAGCACAAAGAATACCATTCTTCCACCTTTAAAAGGACATTCACAGCGAGCAGATGACAGTAGGAGGACTTCTGCAAAGTAAGCTGGTATCGATGGATATGTTGTCACCACAGCCTAACCAAGAGTCTCTGCTCCTGGGGTCTGAGACACAGGTTGCAGCAGTGGCACTGCTTGGGAAAATGTTTGAATGCTTTCTGGTACCCAGAGATTATCCAACATTACTGCTTTATTCTCAAGCCATAAGAACATGTAAGAAATTTGCAATAGTTTTTCCTGGAAGGTAAATAACTTTATTAGCTCCAATTGCATGTGTTCAGAAAAGCTGTGAATAAAAATATGTTTATAAATAATCTCCTCCTCACACACAGACACTCCTCTGGAGGCAAAACTATTGTATGTGTCAGGTCATGAAGACATGTTACTCTCGTAAATCTTACTGCCTTTGATCTTGGCATGCAAACAAAAATTATTCATGAAATGTGGTAGCTTTTAGATGAGGAATAGATGACTACTCTGCAACAGTGATCTTGGGTGTGGTTCTCTTCTGCAACACTGCATAGACGACAGGAGATGTTTTTTGTTAGAGCTTGAAATCGTTGTTATAAAACTTCAGGTGGACAAGGTGGCAAATGACTAGGAGTGATTGATATCACTGAGTTTTTAAGAAACCCAGCCTTCTACATGTGATCTCAAAAATCTCGGCAACACACAAGAACACTGTAATCACAGTAAATGTGTACATTGCAATAAGAAAAATTGTCTTTTCAAAGTGCTCTGGCACCATGCACCGGGTAACGTTAAACTTTTTTTCAAGTGCTCCCATATCGCACATGTAGATTGCGTTCACTTTGAAACCAAAGAGCTGAATCTGAAGCCAGAAAGCCACAGCTTCAAGGATAATCCTTAAGAAAACAGAGAACATATAAAACCCAGTGTAGAATGACTTTTGGAGGTTATCTTCCTGTTTGATGCTTTTACATGCAGCATAAAGATGAAAAAAGGCCCCAGGTACCAGTACAATCACCAGCTGTAACGCCCAGAATACCTAAAATGTAGCAGAAATGTAGCTGTCAGATCATTTACAACTGCATTGGGACAGCTAAAACACGCACATATTGGAACATTTTGCAAGTCTGTTTATAATATATATCAAATGTATAAACACTAAGATAACAATAAAGGTAAAAATCACTTTAATTTGCAAAGTTTGGTTGGTTTCTGAAACGTGAGGATTGTTGTTATGAAGGATAGAAAGCAAACTCCATATTGAGTCTCAGATGAAAGGTTATTAAAAAGAAAATATTCATGAAAAAGCTAAGTGATAATTAACCCAATCAGTTTCTACTTCTTATAATGAACAATTATGTCTAATTTCTGCAGTATATTTTCTTAACATTGGATTTCTACAATAATAAAAGAGAATTACCTGAGGAGTTATAGGCCTGAACTGGTTGTAACAGAAAAGATTAACCTCTCTCTTGTCTGGGTCACAGCTGAAATGCAAGGCCTCGTTTCCATAAACGGCAAAGCCCAAAACGCCAAGGAAAAACATACGCACTGAGCCAAAGAAAAGAGTGTGGAATTGGCCAATTACCGTTGGTGGCCTGAGCTGCAAATCACAGGGTTATTCAACATGAAAACAGAAATGAACAGCATTATTGTTGGAGGCCTACTAGCTCTTTTTCATTATCCAAAATATTTATTTTATTCTTGGTTTAAAAGGAGAGAGCTTGCCTGTGGAGGCTGCAGTAGCTATTTAACAAAATAACGGCTTAGAACACTTTATTGCTGCCACTATTTTTATATAAACATTCATTTGTCTAGCACTTATCAGTTAATTTGTTCCACAGCCTTTCTCTGTACTCCGCTGTTGCAGAATGCACCAGACGGAGCCGAACGCTCCGAGCGCCGGGCCCTCGGTTTCGCTGCTGCGTTGATTTACGGGACGTCAGGTGACGGCAAAACAAGGACCGCCGCGCCAGCCGCAAACCTCACCATACTTATTCTTGCAAATTAAATTCCAGCTCTCTCACGGGGCCATTTCTAGCACCCCCGGAGGCCTCTGTCGGCGGGCATCGCGTCCGGCCCC